CCAACATTTTAAAATGAGTAACTGAGATTCCTAACTTTCTTTATTTCACCATGGATGGGTGCAAACCTTGTAATACACTGATACTAGTCCAAGGATGTGTGACAAGGAAACTACAGCTGACTACTGCAAAAGCTTCCTTTGTCTCCCGGTTTCTTTACATGGTTACCTTCCATCAATCCTTTATGAGGGGTCAGCAAACTACAGGCCACAGGCCAAATCCAGTCTGCCTTACGGCTTTGTAAACAACGTTTTCTTGGTACTCAGTCATTCCTGAGTATTTGCTTACATATTATCCACAGTGGTTTTCACACTACAACAGCAGGGTTAAGTAGATATGACAGAGACCACATAGTCTAAAATATTTCCCACCTGGTCCTTTACAGAAAAAGCTTGCTAACTCATTTTACACCATAACCAGAAAGGCTTAATACTCAAATTTAATCTTGTGACTCCCCTGCTCAAATTTCTCCAATGAGCTACTGCAGCAAACATTGTTGGCTCCCTACCAATAGCCATTCCTTATTCTTTCTTGCAGAAGAAACACTAGTCTATTGGGATGTTTATTACCCTGATTCCCTCCTCAGCTTCAGGAAGAGAAATGATTATTTTAAGCTAATCACGTATCTGCTTTCCCAGTGCCTGGTTTTGGGATAAGCATGTGGTGTGACCCATCCAATGAAATGTTCCAGGAAGCCCCTTGCATGCTTCTAAGTTTTCTCTCCATTTAAAAGACACATGTGAAGAAGAGCAGCCTTCTGATGTTGTGTTGTGAGAACAAGATGTTTGGAACTGCTGCAGATTAGCCAACCATGAAAGGAGACATGAATAAAACACGGCCAAGAACACAGCTGAAAGTGCGACAAGTGGGATCCCAGGACATCACTGAACAACCAAAACAACTCTGGTTCCTACTGTTTTAGCCACTGCTCATATACTGGTAAAATTCCCATGGCCCACAGGATAAGACCTGCTCATTTCTTTTTTCTTTTTTGAGACAAAGGCTTACTGTTTTGTCCAGGCTGGAGTGCAGTGGCACAACCTCAGCTCAGTGCTGCAACCTCCACCTCCCAGGTTCAAGCAATTCTCATGCCTCAGCCTACCAAGTAGCTGGGATTACAGGTGCTTGCTACCATACCTGGCTAATTTTTGTATTTTTAGTAGAGATGGGGTTTCACCATGTTGACTAACACTGAAGACCTACTTATTTCTGTAGCATTAAAATATCTATTATAAACTTGTATCACTTCATTCCCAACCTCTCATATCTCACACTTTTGGTACTAGCAAAAGTGAACGGCTCATAAACCTGCAGAGCTCACTCAAACAACTTGTCTTTTGCACTTGCTGCTGTTCCTCCCAAACAGGCAATCTTGTTAGAAGCTCCTTCTGGCAAACACACAATCTCATTACATCTTCCTTCTGCCAAACATCATTCTTCTGCTTCTTTACCTTGAAACATTCTACTAAGTCTGCATGCTTACCTTAAATCCTACCTACTTTCTAAAAAAGCTTTCATTCCTTATCACATATGTCTGGCACATAATCAATATAATAAATAATAAATCATAATTTACATTTCCAGTGGGCATCTAGCACACA